TGTTCCTCAGTATCTGTCAACGCATGACGCAATCCTTCATGCCATCCAAGCTCACCATGTGGGAAAAGAAGCACATAATGCAGTGGCAAATATGCTGGATGCCCTTCATGAATACGTTCAAGTGAACCTCCACGCAATCGAATGATAATATCACGCGTCGCCTCTGGTACTGATCCATCGCCTGGTAGAATAACAGCTACCTCGTTTATCGTAAGGAGATTATAGCGATACTTATCTGTCGTGTTTGTGTGGTGGAGATAGATTGCTACATCTTCATCAGTACCGTCTTCATGGGCTTGGAGGAGAATTTCATGTGCCTGTTGATAAAGTGGATAGAATGCATGGCTTTTTCGCAAAGTTTCCTGTATTTCCCACATTATTTGTGCCGATAAACCTTTATTACGTCCCATTCTTATTTGAAGGGAAACATCGGGGTCATATATATAAAGTTGAGCATAAGTAGCTTCTTGATCCGCATTGGGTAATAGAGCTCCCGAAAGGTGGCGCAGCTCTCCGTGAATGCGAAAGCTATATGGATTATGCCCTTGCAGAATGCTTACATCAATTTTTGCACCCAATGATGTAAATGCATGTGCTGCGTTATATTGGCAAATGTTCTTGCGAAATTCCGTACAAAGGTCAGCTTCACCATCAAAGAGCATTCGTAAAAAAGGCGGAGGATCACGAAGGAGGGGAAGGACAACTTTTCCATTTAGACAACATGATCCAAATTTTGGATTTTTTCTTGAAGAATTTGTTAAGCGTTCATCTAACCAATGAAGTGCGCCGCAATAACTACACTCTATATCCATGCGACCGAGGTCATGTTGCATATCATCTTGGTTTTGGCGAGACATAGTCGGGTTGATATCTAGTTCAATGGTGGATAATCGCTCGTGCCTCCTTCGCTGTTGCTGTGCGGTGGCTCTTTTATTCGTTTTTTTCTTTTCATCTCGCTCACGTTTTCTCCTTTGCTGTTGTGCGGTAGCTCTGTTATTTATTCTCATTCTTTGCTTTGCGTATATAAATATATCATTTTAATTGGAAGGAATTTATTTCAAAGCGAGAAAAAAAAAAAAGGTTACATACTAATAACGCGTCGATATAACAAATGTAAGTTTATAATTTAAAGTTCGTTATAATACTACCGGCAATTGAATATTATCATCTCTCATTCTAACACACAATATTAGGACCTTATAAGACGGAAGGCTTTATTTGCGAAATCTTATATCGTCATATATAAAAATCTCAGAACATTTGGGTTCATATGGACTTTCAGGGAGCATAAAGCGTAGGCTCCAGCAGTCCCAAAATGAAGCCAAGTTATGCAACTCTGTTTTAACATCAGCATCCTAGACCTTTAGATCGCAATCTCGTAAACTCAATAACGATACTCTTTAAGGCAAATTCATTATATCAGGTACGTATATAAACACTTTAATTAGAACGAATTTCTTTAAAGCGGGAAAAGAAAAAATACTATGTGCTAATAACACATCAATAATTAACAAATATTAACCAATTATATAATTTAAATTAAGTTTTAGTTCACAGATCGCACATATATGAAATACGGTGTTACTACCGGCGATTAAATATCATCTCAACAACCTTTTATTCTAACATCAATATAGAATACGATATTCGGGATCTTTATAAGACAAAAGGTTTTATTTGTGAAATCTCATATTGCAAATATCGAAAATATGCGTCATATGAGAAGTCTCATAGAACGTTTGGGTTTACATGGGGGTATAATGCATGGGCTTCAGCAGACCCAAAATGAAACAAAGTCGTGCAACTTTAAATTGCAATCTCTGAACTTCACTAACTATATTCTTCAGGAGAATTTAAGGCGAATCCCTACCATGCCAAACGAAGAAACATATAAATATAAGCGATTTTTTTCTCAATATACGAAATTCCCGGTGGTCGCCTCTACTATCTCGACAAGATCCGAATCACTTACCCTACATAAGAGAATCATGGCAGATACAAAAGACATAAAACGAA